GGTGATAAGGCTGGGGTGTTCCCGTGGCTGTGTTGTAGCCGGGAGCTGAAGGATGCAGGGGCCAATGTTGGACAGGCAGTTCACTGAATGCATATTTTTCAAGAAGGGAATAGGCGATAGCATTTCTCAAACTGGGGTCCTTGGACATCTGGCATCTGAATCTATAGAGGGCTGGTGGGCTTGTTGGAAATGTAGATGCCTGGGTCCACCCTAGCTTCTTGGGGAAAAAGGAAGCCCAGTGCAACAGAACTAAGCATCAAGGAGCAAGAGTGTTTGAGATGGAAGAGCACCTGCCCCTCTGAGGACATGGGATGCCCAGTGGACCCTAGGCATGGTGGCCTCTATCCTGGTTGGAGTGGACAAGGGGTTTTCTATTTTTTTAATTATTTTTTAAAATTGGTTTTAGAGAGAACGTGAGAGGGAAAGAGAGAGACAGAAGTATCAATGATGAGAGAGAATCATTGATTGGCTGCCACCTGCAACCTGGGCATATGCCTGGTTCATAGGTCAATGCTCAACCACTGAGCTTCCAAAGAAGAGTTACTGGGCCAGGAAAGGGCTCACACTAAGGGGATTTGGCCCATGGGAGCTGGAGGCCAGGACGGGGCTCCACCCTAAGGAAGCAGCTTCTGTTAGAAAGGAGGCCCTGGCTGGACAGTGGGTTCTCTTGCCTGGAACCTGGAGTGGTGGGAGGGAGAGTGCCCAGACTGAGCACCCCCTCTGAGGGTGATGGGCAGGGGTTGGGGTGCATGGGGCTGTACCCAGTTCTTTCTCTGCTTCCTTCTCGGGGCAGCAACACAGGATATCCCACACTTTTAGTTCCTTTGCCTTCTCAGCCTCTCTGACCCCTCATGGTCAGCGCCTGACTGTATGCCCTCCACGGGCACAGCCCCTCCACTCAGCTGCCACTCTCTAGCCTTCACACTCAGAACCCCAGCTCTCAGCCCTCTGTGTGTTCAGCCCCTTTTCAGCACGCCTCAACAGCCACTCTGAGCCCCCTATGCCAAACTGCGCCCAATGCAGCCGGCACTGTGTCCTCATTCTATTTATCCTTCCATATTCACGGCTTAACTCCCTTTACCCACACTGCTGATCCCACCCGCGAAGATCCCCGCCAGTCCCCTCTCGGAGGGGAACCTCCAGTCACCCCTCCCAGAGGCGGGGCAGGCCGAGGCCCGGTGCCCCCCTGGTCCGCCCGTCCCGCCCCATCCCGGCGGGCTGAGTCAGGCGGCAGGAACTGGGCGGGGGGCGGCGCCGAGAAGAGCTGAAGCCCGAGCCAGTCACTGGGAGCGAGCGCGCAGCCCAGCCTGGCGGGCGACGAGTGGCCCTGGTCCGGCGGGGACACGGGGCGTGGGAACAAGCGCGGGGCGTGGGGGGCTGTCCCGGACCCACCATGAACACCAAGAAGAAAGGTAGGACCCGGCCTGGGGCTGCGAAGACTCAGGGGCTAGCTAGCTCCACGGGGTGCGGGCCGGATTCTGGGGGCTCGGGGTGCGTGTTTCTCCGGAGAGGGGTGGGGGTCCATGGAGGATCTCTTCCTGCTAAGGGCGCGGTCGAAAGCGTCTGTGACTCAGTTTCCAGGTCGGAGTCGCTGGAAAGTGAAGGGGGCGGGGCACTTCTCGGCACTGCCCCCCACTCTGGGAATCCCCCGGCTTTGGGCGCCGGGAGGGCCCTGGCGTCTGGGCGCCTGGGAACCGATGGGGGCTGGAAGGGAGCAGCTTACCCGGAGCGGGCGGGTCGCAGGAGCCAAACCCGCGCCGGCCGGGCCTGTCGGGCAGCTCCGCTGGGCTCAAAGCGTGCACCCCGCCCCGCCAGGTGACCTCCAGCGGCCTTACTGGGTGCGGGCGCCGAGCTCCTGGTCCACTTTGGGGGGAGACCAGGGGCAGGGCTGCGGAGTCTGCCCCGCCCCCGGGTAAACAGGCGCTTCCGCACATTCTTCGCGCGCCCCGCCCCTTTCCTGCCCCTTCCCAGCCGGGGGAGGGTCCCCGCGCGACCCCCCTTCCTGCCCCCTGCGGCGGGCGGAGCCTGCACCTCTGCAGGAAGTGGGGGCCGAGCGGAGGCCACGCAGAGTCCAAGGCCGAGACGCCCGAGGCAGCCCTGTCATTAGCGCAGTGGCCGGCGGGGTTGTCGGACTCCCGTCGTCAGGCCGTGTCCGGCAACAATAGGATACGGAGGACGGGCCGCGGGGTGGGGGTTCAAGGGCCCGATTGGCGCTGGACACCCGCCCTCGCCACCCCCAGGGAGCCCCGCGCGGACTCATTCCATGATGTCCCTGTCGGTGCGGCCGCAGCGCCGCCTGCTCAGCGCCCGGGTCAATAGGAGCCAGTCCTTCGCAGGCGTCCTCGGCAGCCACGAGCGGGGGCCCAGGTACGCAGCAGAGGGGGGCTGATGGGGTCAAGAGGGTCAGACTGGGTTGGAGCTGAGTGTGCAGTGAGGGTTTGGGGGATTCCTTCTTGGCCCTTTCTGAGTGCAGCCTCTTCTTCAGGAGCTTCCCGGCCTTCAGTCCCCCGGGGCCCCCGCGGAAGGCCCCTGCGCTCTCTCGAGTGTCCAGGATGTTTGCAGTGGCGCACCCAGCCCCCAAGGTCCCGCAGCCAGAGCGGCTGGACCTGGTGTACGCTGCGCTCAAGCGGGGCCTGACGTAAGCAACTCCCTCCCTAGCCCCCTCCCGCCCCCGCCCCCCCTCCGTCCTCTTTCTGCTAGTGGGAACCTTCCCCAGCCTCACGCCCTCTCCCCACTGCCCGCACCCTGGGCAGCTGGAGGCTGTAGAGGTAAGCTAATTTTTGTTGTCACCCCTTTCCCCAGGGCCTATTTGGAAGTACACCAGCAGGAGCAGGAGAAACTCCAAGTGCAGATAAAGGAATCCAAGAGGAATTCCCGCCTGGTGAGTGAAGGGTTGGTGAGGATGACCTGGACAACTAATGCTTTTTGCCCTTGTGTGTGTGTGGGGGGGGGGGGGGGGCGCTGGGCAGGGCCAACCCTGGGTGACATCAAGGCTGTTTTCTGGTTTGACTTGGTCTAGGTGTGACTAGAAAAGGGTTGGGGAAGTTTCTATCCCCACATTCCCCAGACTGTGTGCACTTTCTGCCTGGGACCCAGTGCCTGCCCATGTGAGCTTCCAGTGGGGTGGGTGGACCCCCACAGACATGAATAACAGGAGATTATATTGTAGTGGTATTGAGGGAGAGCCATGGTTCTTCCTAGGGAACAGCTCAGGGCTTCCCAAAGGAGGAGACACTTCTGCTGGGTTTTGAAGGATGAATAGGAGTTCCCTGGTAGAGGGAACCACGCATGAGGCACAGAGCTCTCTTCCTAGGGATTACAGGGTTGCAGGAAAGGGAGTGGGCTAAGGGAGGGACCCCAGGGAAGAAATGGGGGGAAGGATGCTGGAGGGGTCTTGGGGACCATATCTTTGTCACCAGTACCCAGCAAAGTTCAGGCATGTGGAAAGGTTGGTCAATCCCTGCTTTGACTGGAGTGGCTGTGGATTATGGTGTGAGGGGGAGGAAGGCTGTAACGGAGAGGAGCTAGCCTGCCAGCCCTAGCCAGTTTGGCTCAGTGAATAGAGCATTGGCCTGTTCCCTGAAGGGTCCCAGGTTCGATTCCAGTCAAGGGCACATGCCTGGGTTGCAGGCTCGATCCCCAGTAGGGGCTGTGCAGGAGACAGCCAATCAGTGATTCTCTCTCATCATTGATGTTTCTATCTCTCCCTCCCTCTTCTCTAAAATCAATAAAAATACATTAAAAAAAAAAAAAAGGAGAGGAGCTAGATGGGTCTGAGTAGCAAGTGCCCTGCTGGAACACATACCATACCTTCTAAGTGCTCCCTCTCATCTTCCCCTGCAGGGCTTCCTGTATGACTTAGACAAGGTGAGTGTATAGAGAATGGTGTTGGAAGAGGTTGGCTCATGGGGGAGGGTAAAGGGCCCTGGGCCTCAGGCTCCTCCTGACACACCTCTCCCCCAGCAAGTCAAGTCCATTGAACGCTTCATGCGACGGCTGGAGTTCCATGCCAGCAAGGTACATATGCAGCATGCATGAATACATGTGCGGGTTTCGGGGTTGGGTGTTTTAGGGAGATGGGGGTGCTAGGCCCTGGGTGAGCAACGCCAGTAGTGAGTCTCAATCCCCCCACTGCCACTCCACTCACCTGCCCAGATCGACGAGTTATATGAGGCATACTGTGTCCAGCGGCGTCTCCGGGATGGTGCCTCCAACATGGTCCGTGCCTACACCACCGGGTCCCCAGGGAGCCGTGAGGCCCGGGACAGCTTGGCCGAGGCCACTCGCGGGCATCGAGAGTACACAGAGGTGAGGGATGGGTGCTCAGGAGGCAGAGGCTCAGGGTGTGGCAGAGCTGGGGAGAGGGGACTGATTGTTGACCCTCTCCTGTCCCTGCCTGTCCCTCCCAGAGCATGTGTCTGCTGGAGAGTGAGCTGGAGGCACAGCTGGGAGAGTTCCATCTCCGGATGAAAGGTACTGAGTGGTGGGGGCAGACCGGTAGCAGGGAGAGGGAAGTGTGTGCCTGGGACCCCTCCCTCAACATGGCTCTTCTTTTCCTCCACTCCCAGGACTGGCTGGCTTCGCCAGGCTGTGTGTGGGTGATCAGTATGAGGTATGAGGATGTGCAGGGAAGGGCTGGGATGACAGGGTCACAACACCAAGGGCTGCCTCATCCTGCTTGTTCCCTTAGATCTGCATGAAATACGGGCGTCAGCGCTGGAAACTACGAGGCCGCATTGAGGGTAGTGGAAAGCAGGTGTGGGACAGTGAGGAAACCGTCTTTCTTCCTCTGCTCACGGAATTCCTGTCCATCAAGGTTAATGTCTCTGCCCAGGACCACAGGACACATGATCCTGTAACTCCAGGACCCTGTGAACCCCTTTTGACCCTTACAACCCTGTGACCCACCCCTCCTGGCTCCATGGCCCTGTGACTATGTGATGCCATGATCTTCAGACGCTGTGCCTATTCGACCCCCTAAGTCCCCATGAGGCAGTGATCCCCATGACCTCAATGACTCTACAAAGTTAGACCTCTCTGATCCCCGTGCTCACAGGGTGTTTCAAGCTTCCACGGCCCCATTACCCAGAGAACTCCCATCCCTGCAACCTCCTCATGAACCCATGACCCCGTGACCATTGCGAAACCTCTATGCAAATTCAGACTTTTGATCTCCCATGATCTCATGACCTCTACACTCTTGTGACCCCATGATGCATTCTTGGCTATAGGTGACAGAGCTGAAGGGCCTGGCCAACCACGTGGTTGTAGGCAGCGTCTCCTGCGAGACCAAGGACTTGTTTGCCGCCCTGCCCCAGGTTGTGGCTGTGGACATCAATGACCTCGGCACCATCAAACTCAGCCTGGAAGTCACATGGAGGTTGGTGGGGTTGAGGAGCTTGGGGACAGGGCCAGGAGCCGGTGGCATCTGCTAACAGCCTCTTTCCTCCCCAGCCCCTTCGACAAAGATGACCAGCCCTCAGCTGCTGCTTCTGTCAACAAGGCCTCCACAGTCACCAAGCGCTTCTCCACCTATAGCCAGAGCCCACCGGACACTCCCTCGCTTCGGGAACAGGCCTTCTATGTGAGTCACAACCCAGGCTCAGGCCCCACCATCCCCCAGGGGTCTGAAAATGGTCCTGAAATGCCCTTTCCTCTCTCCCAGAATATGCTGAGGCGGCAGGAGGAGCTGGAGAATGGGACAGCATGGTCCCTGTCATCCGAATCTTCGGACGATTCATCCAGTCCGCAGCTCTCGGGCAGTGCCCGCCACTCCTCAGCCCCAAAGCCCCTGGTGCAGCAGCCTGAGCCTCTGCCCATCCAAGTTGCCTTCCGTAGGCCTCAGACCCCCACCTCCGGGCCCACGGATGAGGAGGGAGCCATGGCCCCAGTCCTGGCCAATGGGCATGCCCCCTACAGCCGGACTCTCAGCCACATCAGTGAGGCCAGTGTGGATGCTGCCTTGGCTGAAGCTTCAGTAGAGGCCGAGGGTCTAGAAAGCCAGGGACCTAACCCACCTGCACACCCAGATCCCACCCATAGGGAGCATCCTGGTCCTGACCCTCTTGCCCTGGACCCCGGCCATTCTGCCACAAGCCCCACTCCCAGTGCAATAGGCCCTGCTCACACATCTACAGACCCTGTCCCATCTGCATATCTAAACTCTCTCCACAAGACTCCAGACTCTAGCTCTCCTGAACTGCCAGGTCCCGCCCACACCACTTCAAGCTCTACCTGCAGTGCCATAAGCCCTACCAGCAGTGCTCCAAGCGTCACTCACACTGTCACAGGCTCTACCCACAAGCCCAAGCCCTCCACCCTCACTGCTACAGGCCCTACCCCCATTGCCATGGACTCAGGCCAGGCCACAAGTCCCACCCACAAGTCAGTGCTTTCTACCCTCACTATTGCAGGTCCTAGCCCCAACACTACAAGCCCAGTCCAGACCACAAGCCCCAGCCACACTGTCACAAACCTGACAAATATTGTCACAAGCCCCACCATCAAGCCCATACTCTCTACCCCCACTACTACAGGCCCTAGCCCCAACCCTACAAGCCCAGTCCAGACCACAAGCCCCAGCCACACTGTCACAAACCTGACAAATATTGTCACAAGCCCCACCGTCAAACCCATATTCTTTACCCCCACTACTACAGGCCCTACACCAAGTGCCCAGAGCCCAGCCCAGCCTACCACAATGCCCACCCACACCACCACAAGCCCCACCCACACCACCACAAGCCCCACCCACACCACCACAAGCTCCACCCATACCACAAGCTCCACCCACACTACCGCAAGCCCTACTCCCAAAGCCAGTATGTCAGCTCAAACTACTGTAAGTCCAACCACCGATGCTAAGGACCCAGTCCAGACCACCAGAAGCCCCACCTACCCTGTCACAAGCCCCACCCTTATAACTGTAAACCCTTCCACTTCTCTAGACCTCGCCACGCTCCCCAGCCCCTCTGCACACACAGACCCCAACCCACTGTCCCATAGCCATCCAGCTTCCACTCCCTGCACTCAGGCAGATCCCATAGCCCCAAGCACCTCTGACCCAAGCCCTGCCTGCTCCAGTTTGGAACCCCCTACAAGCCCTTCCCCAGGCCCCCCAGAGCCCATCCTTCAGAACCCAAGCCCCCCTCCCTCACCCTTAACCGTTGGGCCCCAGCATTCAGACTTTAGCCTGGCCACGACTGCCCAGGCCCCAGTTCCAGGAGCAACGGGAGGAGCTGGAGACAGGAGGCTGGAGGAGGCACTGGGGGCCCTAATGGCTGCTCTGGATGACTATCGTGGCCAGTTCCCAGAGCTGCAGGGCCTGGAGCAGGAGGTGATCCGCCTGGAGAGTCTGCTCATGGTAAGGAGGGCCGGGCTGGGCTGTGGCAGCACAGGAAGGGCAGCCAGGCTGTGGCAACAGCTCTGACTCCCTTCACAACCCCAGCAGAGACAAGGCCTGACTCGCAGCCGGGCCTCCAGTCTTAGCATCACTGTGGAGCATGCCCTGGAGAGCTTCAGCTTCCTCAACGAGGATGAAGATGAAGACAACGATGGTCCTGGAGACAGGTGACAGGGGCTAAGTGAGATGGGGTTAGGTGAGGGGGAATAAGTGAGGTGAGTGCCAGGTGAAGGAGCACGGCAAGAAAGGAGAAGGTGAGGTGGGGCCAGGTGGAGCATATGAGTAGTGCAGCCAGACTGGAAGTGGACAGGAGGGGTGGACTTGCTTGTGGGTGCATCTGTGTTTATCCCTCCCATGTACTCCTCATGTGTCCTTGATGCCGTTTCTAACCCCATCTATCCCTACTGCTTCTGACCACCCTGCAATGTCTGCTTGCCCTGCAATGTCTGCTTCCCTCACCAGTCTCCCTCCATCCGCTCGTGAGCCCTTTCAGGCGCTCCCCACGGCTGTCCTGGAGAGCCCAGCCCCTCAGCTCTCTGTGACCAAGTGGCCTTTGAAAATTCCAAGTTGAGGCTCATGCCCAGCCCCTCCTCCATCTGCTGCTGCCCAGGTCACAGCCCTGTGCCCTGAGCCCCTTGGGCCACAGCCCCTTGCATTTCACATTGCATAGACCATCCCCTTGCAACCCCACAGTCCTAGCTGGATGTGGCACAGGGCAGATGGACTCTGAAGACCACTGCTATCACCTGCTGGTCCCAGCCCCTTCCTCCTGGAATTTCTCCGTGAACTTACCCATTGTCTGTCTGTTGTCTGTGCGTCTGTTCTTCCCTTCTGGGATGGGGGCGGGGGGGGGGGCACTTAATGAAAATACAGTGGTGACCAGATGGTGATATGTACTCCTAAGGTGGTTGCCACAATTTTTCTCTCAGGCCCCCAAGCAGCCTGGAGCCTAAGGCTGAAGACAGCCTCAACTCACCCAGTGCCCGCCCCCTCAGCACGGAGTGTCCAGCTCTGGACACTGCCTTGGTCCAGCACCTGTACTACTGCAGCCGCCTCCTGCTGGTGAGGCTAGTGGCATTGCCCCCCACGCTCCTTTTACCTCAGGGAACTCTCCACACCTGCTCTGAGTTCCATCCCCAATGCCCCAGGTCCCTGGCATCTGGCTCTTACTGAACACCTCCCACACTCTGGCTCCCTCTAATCTCTCTTAATGCATGCTGGGACTTGTAGTCCCTGGGCTTCACTCTCCCCAAGTTCTACCTTGAGATCTGAGCTACTTGGCCACCCCTATTCTCCAGAAACTGGGCACATTTGGGCCGCTACGCTGTCAGGAGGCATGGGCCCTGGAGCGACTGCTGCGGGAGGCCCGAGTGCTCGAGGTGGTATGCGAGCTTAGCAGGCGATGGGAAATCCCTGCTACTTCTGCTCAGGAAGGTAAAGGCCCTGTGGGCTCTGGCTTGGTGACTGCCCTGAAGCTCCTTCCTTGTTCTACGCCACCTACACTTGTCTGCCCACCTGCCTACTCGGTTGCTGACGGTCTCTTGCACCTCCTCACAGTGGTGCAGTTCTCAGCCTCTCGGCCTGGCTTCCTGACCTTCTGGGACCAGTGCACAGAGGGACTTAGCCCCTTCATCTGCCCTGTGAAGCAGGTGCTCCTCACCTTCTGCAATCAGTACGGTGCCCGGCTCTCCCTGCGCCAGCCAGGCTTAGCTGAGGCTGGTGAGTAGGCTGCCTGCCTGCCCCCTCTGCCCTCCCTGCTCAGATCCCCAGTGATGGGACCGCAGGGAAAGTCAGGTCAGCTCACACAGACGTGCTGAGCTGAGCATTGAGAAGAAATAGCAAAGGCTTGTGCCTTGGTGCGAGAGGACCCAGATGGGTAGGGTTTGGACAAGGGGCCCCTGGACCTGAGCCTGGGGTGGGAGCACTCTTTCCTCTAAGGGCGTGGGTCCGTCCAAACCCTGAGGTCTTTGGCACTGCTTCCCACAGTGTGTGTCAAGTTTCTGGAGGATATGCTGGGGCAGAAGCTGCCCAGGAGGCCCCAGCCAGGCCCTGGAGAGCAGCTCACTGTCTTCCAGTTCTGGAGTTATGTGGAAACCCTGGACAGCCCCTCTATGGAGGCCTATGTGACGGAGACCGCTGAGGAAGGTGAGGCAGTAGCCCCGATCACCAAGTGCCCAACACTATGTGTGGGCCTTGAGGTCTGGATGAGGACATGAATGTACAGAAGACCCCACCCCAGGAAGCTCCTCGCCCTGCTACATTCTTCCAAGGTCCTTCTTTCAGTGTTACTGGTGCAGAATCTGAACTCAGATGATCAGGCTGTTGTGCTCAAGGCCCTGAGGTTGGCACCTGAGGGGCGGCTACGAAGGGACGGGCTTCGGGCCCTCAGCTCCCTGCTCGTCCATGGCAACAACAAGGTCATGGCTGCTGTCAGCACCCAGCTCCGGAGCCTGTCGCTAGGCCCTGCCTTCCGGGAAAGGGTGAGAGTGGGGCAGGGCTCCCTTGAAGGCAAAGGCTGGGGTCCCAGACTCCCAGTGTCTGGCTAAGTGCCCTCCTACCCTTACCCAGGCCCTACTGTGCTTCCTGAACCAACTCGAGGATGAGGACGTGCAGACGAGAGTGGCTGGCTGCCTGGCCTTAGGCTGCATCAAGGTGATCCCTGCCAACCAACCCCTTTATCTCCCCTCGGGACTCCCCCAACCCTGGGCCCTGGGCTTTTCCATCTGCTCCAATGGGCCCACCTCAGTGCTTCCTCCTCTGATAGGCTCCTGAGGGCATTGAGCCCCTGGTGTACCTGTGCCAAACGGACACAGAAGTCGTGAGGGAAGCTGCTCGGCAGAGCCTGCAACAGTGTGGTGAGGCTGGGGGCTGGGAGATAGAGGTCAAGCCGAGTTCTGGGACATTTTGGCTGATGAGGGTAGGGGTGAGATGGGGTCAAGGGTGGGAGGACCAAGGCTAGGGCTACTCCTGATTCCATCCTTACTCATTGCAGGGGAAGAGGGACAGTCTGCCCACCGACGGCTAGAAGAGTCGCTGGACGCCCTGCCCCGCATCTTCGGGCCCGGCAGCATGGCCAGCACGGCCTTCTAAACTCCCCACACACTGGCTCTCAGTGCCACATCCCCCCACTTTCAGGGCTCACCAGGTGGCAGGGAGGGTGAGGGCTGGTTCCAGACACCCCTCCCCCATGTATTCCTATCCATGAAAATCTAATATATTCTTCAGTTGCCCTTGGGGTTGGTAGAGTCAGTGCCTGCAGTCAAGTGCCTCCCAGCCTCAGCTCAGCACACTTGCCACAGATCAGTGCCCCGGGCCTGGCCGTCCTGCCTCTGCCCCATCACCTCCCTTGGTTTTGTATTTTATTTACAGAGTTTTACAGAAAATAAAAAAGCAAAATGCCTTTCCTACATGGCCTGGCCTAGTGTACTCCTGATCTTCTGGTGCCAGCACCCTTTGGCTGTGGCCTTCCTGACATGCCCGCACTCCAACTGTGACAATGACATGTGCCTTTGCCCTGGAAATCTGGGTGGAAGAGAGCCCAGGGGCTGGAAGTGGGCTTGGAGAAGAGGGCAGAGAAAAAGGGTGGTGGCGTGTTGCTGAGGATCAGCCTGCTGGCTGGGCGTGCTCTGGGCCTGGAAGCTAGGGGCCCAGGCTGGAGCCAAACCACGGAGTTGGCCTAGAGAAGGCCCAGAGTGCCAGTCCTGGGAATGGCTCCCCAGCGGCTAGCACCCTGCTGCCAGGAGGCAAAGGGGAAGCAGCAGGCAAAGAAAAAAGGCATGGTGGTGGCTGGAGCTCCTGGCCACCAGGGGGCAGCAGAACCCTGTCCGAGAATGCCAGGCTTCTAGATTTCCCCTCAGCCCTGGCAGCTTCCTACAGAGGGCACAGCACTAGGAGCTCCTTGAGGGCTGGGTAGTAAGAGAGAGCAGATCTTTGCAGAGGGGAAGAGCTAGGGCCTGCGCGGCAGGAGACCAGGATGGCTGCCCAGTGACCCTAAATAACAAGTCCCTCCTCTACCCAAGCCACCTCCTCTCTGTAAAAACAACCCTGACTGAACCCCGTGGTCCTGCACAGCCAGCTGACCTGTTTTGCTTTGGGAAGCAGGGCTCCAGGGAGGGTTCACCTCCTCCCCAGAGGTGCCGCATGTTAAGTGTGTTAACCCCAGAAGGCAAAGAGCTCTATGGGAGGAACTGGAGGGTGGGGTGGGATTTCAGGATGGCAGGCCTGTTCTAAGGAGGGCCTGAGGGAGGCCCACACCCAAGGCTGGAGAAACTGGCCCTCCACCCTTTCCTTCTCACTCCAGAGCTTTCATTATCCAGGGGCAAGGGAGACGGTGCACAGGCAGGGCCTTCCCCAACCCTGGAGTCCACCGTGACACGGGGGAAAGTGTGCACCTGCACTCAGGCAGAGCTAATGAGGTGCCAACAGTCCCTCCTTGGGGGGGGGGTGACCCAGATCCCCAGGGAGCCCCGCCCCCCAGTGTTTTGGAGCTGTGTATAAGAGGTTTGGCTGGCCCTTAACCACCTGCTGGGGAAGCCACGCTGAGCAGCAGAAAAAAAAAAAAAGAAAGAAAGAAAGAAACGGCAACAGGAAGGAGCACAGGAAACACCTGTGTGTGGATGCAGGTGGCTCATTCCAGTCGGGTGGGGTTGCGGGCGGGCAGACAGCCCTCAGCACTTAGGCACAGCTCTGTGCTCCCTCTGTAACTGTGAAGGGTGTCATGGGAGGGATGGTGTGTAGTTCAGCTTTTGGGGGTGGTAGGCTGGCTGGGATGGCAGAGGGTAGAGAAGGCAAACAAGTGGTAGAGACCAAGCCAGCACCCAGAGCCGGCACAGCTTGGGCCTGCTTCAAGGTCCCCTGCAGGAGGGTTGCAGTCCAAGAACCAACCCTGGGGCCCCACTGGTAGGGCAGGACTGTCCACTTGCATCCAAAGCACAGCCTGTGTGGTGGGGAAAGAGGAAGTAAACACTGGCTGACCGGGTTCTGGGAAAGGGCAGATGGCTGACTGGGCCGGCAGGAGTGCACACAGCTCAATCCACCGGAGAGGACAGCCTAGTCGAGACATGTAGGGTGGAAAAATCATCCCAGTTGAGGGTCATCTGGAACTGTCACAGTGGCCCTATATCACTGCTTACCAATGCTAGAAATGGATAGGGCTCTTAAGTTTCTATCCCCTATACGGAGAGTCCTCAGGCCACAGCCTAGCATTCAACCCTAGCCAAGGGTCAGGGCAGGTACTGTGAGCATAGCCAGGTACAGGTAAAGGACTGTCAAAGCCAAGACAAAAAAGAGCCTTAATCCTTTGCCCCATCAAGCCTACCTAGTTTAGAGCAGTGTGGATCAACTACTCAATCCCTCTCCATCAGCAACCTGAAGTCAGACTGGATGGCCTCCTACATCCAGGCCCATGCCCAGGTCTGCCAGATGATAGAGGGCAGGGAGAGTCCCTGTCCACCCTCCTGTACAACATCCCCTCCCTCAACACACACAGCTTCACAGGTGCCTCCCACAGGGCAAAGCTGCTGCTCTCAGGACTGCTCACTCCCCACCCTGCTGTCATACAGGTTCAGGGAGGCATTCATTCCTACTGCCCCACACTCCTTAGAGTCAGGAGCCTTCTGCCAGCTGACGGGAGGTTGATGATACCATCTGAGTCAAAGGCAGCTGGGTAGGGAAAGTCTGTGCCCGCCTGTCCTGTGTAGCCTGTGTAAGCCTCTGTGGGGTGAACAGAAGGAAGTGGGCCTCCCAGGCCTCTGACACCCTCCCAGTACCCCATCAATCAAGTCCACCGAGGCCACAGCCATGCCTTGGCTGTCATCATTGGACTCTTCCTGGGAGGAAACTGATAAGAGTGCACTGTAGAAAAAAGGGGCCAGGCTGAGGTAGTCCAGGATCTGATTTATTGTGTGGGTGGTCACTGGAGGCTCACCCCCCCTCCCCACCCCACCGCCACTCTCCTCCTTTCCTCTTGTCCTCTTCCAACCTTACCTTTCCTCCTGTCTCCCACTCTTCTTCCTCATGTATTCAAAGCTGCAGAGAACCAAAAAGAAGAAGAAAAAAAGGCATGTTTGTGAAGGCAAAGCAGATGGGAAGAGGACTGCTGCTTAGTCTCACCCACAGAGCGGGGGTGATTTTCTTGTGTTTCTATGCCTGGTGTGTGGGTACAATTTGCTGAACCCTCAGCATATGACATGTTCCCTCCTTTCCTTCCTTATGCCTTCTGCCCCCTGACAGCCTTGAAGTATCCGGTTCAGGCCATACACCCACCACGGACAGAAGGCTTGACTGCTAGACCTGGGTCTTTTGGGCCTGGTTAATATAGGAGGGTGACCTTGGGAGGCACTCCAGGGCCTGTAAAGTGCTAAGGAAGAACAATCTATCATTAAGAAAATAAGACGGTCAGCGGCCTACAAAAAAGGGGCCTCTTGTTTCAGAAGACTGTACTGGGGTGATGGCCATGGTTTAAGTTTGATGTCAACAGTTAAGTCTCGCTTGTCTCTGAATACACCCAGGACATATGGAACCTCAATAAATGCTGACTTACAGCAGCTGAATAAGCAGATGACTTGCTATAGCTAACACCTACGTTTCTGGTTATTTCCTCTGAGTCTCCTTAAAACCTCCTCCTCCACCTCCTCCTCAAGCATCATTATACAAACATCACTCCACAGGATTCCATTCTAGGCCCTTTTCTCCTTGCTCTAGAAACACACTCCCTGAACCACCTTCTCCATCCCCCTGCCTGCCATCTCTAAGCTGAGGCCAGTGACTGACATGGCACTCCCCTATCTCCAAGTGCTGACGGACTAGACACTCCTTTTGAACAGCATGCTCCAAATCACTCAACATCTCAAAATCTTTTTCTCCTCCAGGGCTCTTGGGGTTACCAACTACCCAGATATCCAAGCAACACAACTGAGCCTCATCCTTGACTTTTTCTTCTGTCCCCTCATTTCAGCCACCTTTATCCTCTCAATTAAATGCCCTAAGTATTACTAAATTCTACCCACTTCTCTTTCTCGTCATTGACACCACTCAGATCCAGGACACGTTGGCCTCTCATGCAGACACTAAAACTGCCCCCCTCACAGGCTTCCTGCCCCTGGTCTTGCCCCTCTTCCATCCATTCTCCATAGTGCAGTCAGAGTGATTTCTAAGACATAAATCCACCACTACGCGCTCTCCGTTAGGGGAAATTCCAACACCCTCGACCTGGCTCACAAAGCCCTTGGAGTCTATTCCCCTCTCCAGCCTCACTTCTGCCACCTAACTTCTCGCTCTGCACTGAGACTCAGGGCAGGGCTTGCTTGCCCCATCGTGGTACACTCTTCCTGCCCCTCATCTTGCCTTGTTAATAAGCCTGTTCACCTGAAAGGCTTCAACCTAGACATCCCGGATTTCTCCAGGAAGCCGCCCTCCCTGTGCTCTTGTCACAGGAGCCTGCACTTCCCCAGTAGGGTACTGATTCCACCCCACTGCAATTGCTCATTTACTTAGCATTTGCCAATGTACAGGGTGGGGCAAAAGTACGTTTACAGTTGTGAGTACGTGAAACAGTTTATCCTTGTGTTATTATTTATTAATTGTTGTATTACAAACAACTGTAAAACTACTTTCCCCCTATCCTGTATATATCCATAAGTATTTGCTGGCTCTTCTACTAGATCACAGGCACCACCCAAGTCCCTTATGGAGGTTGGTCCAAGTTTTTTGTTTTACTTGTTTTTAAACAGCTTTATTAAGATTAAGTCCACATACCATGCAATTCACCCATTTAAAGCCTACAGTTCAATGGCTTTTAATGTAGTCACAGAATTGAGCAATCATCACCACCATCAATTTTAGAGCATTTTCATCAACCCCCAAAAGAAACTGCACCCCTTAGCTATAATCCCTTGGGCCTTCACATCCTCTTATCCCCATCCCCACCCTGAAGCAACCACTAATCCAGTGATGGCGAACCTTTTGAGCTCGGTGTGCCAGCATTTTGAAAAACCCTAACTTAACTCTGGTGCCGTGTCACATATAGAAATTTTTTAATATTTGCAACCATAGTAAAACAAAGACTTATATTTTTGATATTTATTTTATATATTTAAATGCCATTTAACAAAGAAAAATAAACCAAAAAAAATGAGTTCGCGTGTCATAGGTTTGCCATCACTGCACTAATCTATACCTATACAGATTTGCCTATTCTGGATATTCTTTTTTAAAATATATTTTTATTGATTTCAGAGAGGAAGGGAGAGGGAGAGATAAAAACATCAACGATGAGAGTGAATCATTGATCGGCTGCCTCCTGCACGCCCCACAATGGAATCAAGCCCACAACTTGGACATGTGCCCTTGACTGGAATCGAACCTGGGACCCTTCAGTCCGCAGGCTGACGCTTTATCCACTGAGCCAAGCC